TTCAAATTACAGTTCAATTTAGCTTTGTCCTAACTCAAACGTCTCTAACTGAAAACTATTAACATCTACCAGTTCAAATAAAGTCACTATCAAGACATATTTAATGAAAAAAAAATTAATGAAACTAATTTCATCCTGTAGATGTTGATACATTTTTTCTACTAACTGGTCAAAGTTAGAGAAGCTTGAGTTAGGACAAAGTTAGAGTGAACTATGATATGGAACGGTGGGAGTAACAAGGACCATATTTTAGAAATACACAAGGTCACCTGCCCAACCATGTTTGGGTATTAGTTAACAATTGCAGAAGCAGGATGCCATGTTTCCAATTGGTCAATTTTTATTGGCATTCATAGAAAGTCGTGTCTCATCCACAATATCGTCATTGTACTATCAAGTATATTTGTTTACTGGTAAGAAAACTGAATAACCTTACAAGTACCTCTGCCCTTGTAATAATTAGTTGTGTGGCATGTTTCTCTCACTAAGTTTACAACATTTCTATTGTCCAATGGGGTCTATTGCTTTTCAGTTGGAGAACCTACAAATGTGCTTATGATTCTTCTCAATGTATGTCATTTGATGTGTTGTCAAGATGTTAGTTAAATGGATGCCACTTATTTACCTCTAAAACCCTTCAGGTTTAAACAAGGATTTCAGGAAGATGATAACTGAGCATGCTGATCTTAAGGCATTAACTGTGAAGGACATTCATACTGCATCGGATGGAACCCATAAGGTAGTTTTCAGTGTTGCTGTTACGTTATGAAGTGATTTACTGGATATGATTTGAGTTTTGAACACAGGATGTTACAGATACTGTTCTCTCTTGAAGATGGCTCAGTGATTGAAACAGTTATCATTCCTTGCGCTAGGGGCAGGACGACTGTCTGTGTTTCAAGTCAAGTTGGTTGTGCCATGAACTGTCAGTTTTGCTTCACTGGAAGGTTTGTTTACTTACGTTACAAGGCATTTTTCTTCTCTTGGCCAGTACTGATTCTATGCTTGCTTGGCTTTTTCTTATATATAGGATGGGTTTGAGAAAACATCTCTCGACAGCTGAAATTGTCGAGCAGGCTGTGTTTGCTCGTAGACTATTCTCAGATGAATTTGGATCAATTAATAATGTTGTATTTATGGTAAGCATTTGCTTTAAGTAACTTAGGCTTTGACTGTGTTACTATGGTTAACTGGGCATGTTTAACTAACAGCATATGATTTGTATTTTACATTTTTTTAATCCTGATTCTGTTCCCATCTATGCTCTTCTTCCTAAAGTGGTATCAACAAAATATGTATAACTGTATAGTGTCTACAGTCTATCTTAAAACTCCACTTTCAAGTCAATTCATATTGTCGTGGATTCAAATAGCGCATTTTTTTTTCTAACAGTACATTGAATTTGTAATGTTGTCCTTGCATCTGCTTTGATGCCATATTCAGTTATTTGGTGCCATTTTAGAATGCATTGACCTATATATATGGTTACATACTTACATCTCTTATCAGTTGCCCTTGTCCTTATCAGCAGTATTACTGATTTCTGTTTTTCATTCAGATGTTAGGCTTCTTGATGTTGGTTTTGGAGTACCGTGTTAACAAAAATGAAAGTCTAGTTATAGCAACATGCATACGTCGTTTAGGCATCTTTTTATGTTTACTTGCTGTTGTTAGCTCTTAATAACATCTCATCGTGTAGCCTACAAGATTTAAGAAGTTATGTTGTTTTTGTTGATTAGATGGTACGCTCTTTCACTAATGTCTAATTTGTCCAGGGCATGGGTGAACCATTTCACAATATTGACAATGTAATAAAAGCCTCAGCAATAATGGTTGATGAGCAAGGCCTTCATTTTAGCCCTCGCAAGGTTACTGTCTCCACAAGTGGTCTTGTCCCTCAGTTAAAACGCTTCCTCCAGGAATCCAATTGCTCGCTGGCCGTCAGTCTTAATGCAACGACTGATGAGGTAGTAGTTATTCTGTTCCTGTGACTTTTTTTTGCATTATTTCACTGTTTTGTAAACTAACTTATTTTGCAGGTTAGAAACTGGATAATGCCCATAAACAGAAAGTACAATCTTAACTTGCTTCTTGGCACTTTAAGAGAGGAACTTAACCTCAGAAAAAAACAAATAGTGCTATTTGAATATGTCATGCTTTCTGGAGTGAACGACAGGTCAGATATCTGCTTTGGTGTCTTTGACTGTTTTTGTATATTATGAATCTCTTAGCATAGGTTGCATATAAATCTCCTTGCAAAAGATAACTTTCTCCCCTATATTCAATTATTCGTGAGGCTTTTCTTTTCCTATTGGTCCAGGCATACATGTAGGCCTACTAGTGACAGTCTATAGTTGATGTTGTTAGCCCAGTAGCCAAATTGGAACGTTGAATCTTCTTTCCCTTTTTAAATCCATAAGCAAGCAAACTGAATCCTGAATCCTTTTTCAGTATTAACCTTTTCCGAAGCTATCACAGTTAACTGGTACCTGCTTTCACCCTAAACTGTATATCTTTGTTTGATTTACTGTGCTTGCAGTATGGATGATGCCAAGAGGCTTATAGAGCTAGTCCAAGGGATCCCATGCAAGATAAACCTCATCTCTTTCAATCCCCACGGCGGTTCCCAATTCAAGCCCACACCAGACGATAAGATAATTGAGTTCCGCAACGTTTTAATTCAAGGTGGCCTCACCGTTTTTGTTCGGCTCAGCAGAGGGGATGATCAGATGGCTGCTTGCGGGCAGCTAGGAGAGCCTGGAGATTACCAGCTGCCTCTGCTCCGTGTACCTGAGAAATTTCAGGTCGCCTTGTGATGCTAAACAGTGCATACAGTAAACTGGTCCTGAGCAGCTTGACGAACACAGTAATTGGCTTGGAACAACAATTCGATCGTGCAAATCTTGTACTGTTACTCGGGTACACGGAGTAAGTTCTACCGCCTTCGGGAGATTGCCTGGAATTCTGCAATCTCGTGCAAATCTGAACCTGGGTACTTATGTGACAACACATTTTGACATGGTGTTGCTTCTGCTAATGCGTGGTGTACCCAAACTAAATTCTATAAGAATATAAATTGGGTACACCCTCCATCCCAAATTATTTATAAGTCATTCCAAGAATCTTGAAGAGTCAAAACATCTCATGTTTGACTAAAATTATGAAAAAAATTTATAAACATCTATGACATCAAATAGATATACTATGAAAATATAATTAATGAAGAATCTAATGATACTTAGTTGGTATCATAAATGTTACTATCTTTTCATATAAATTTGATTAAACTTGAGATGTTTTGACTCTCTAAGATTCGTGGAATGACTTATAATTTAGGATGGAGGGAGTAATTTCTTGCAAATCGTTGCTGTATAAGACATTAACAGAATAACATGCTTTCACTTGGCACTTCGACATCGTGCCAAACTTTAGCGTCGTCCAGACTGAAGTGGGCTAAAGCGCTGCATCGTGCAACCGCGTGACAGTGGCGTTTTTTCGCATGGTTCATCGGCTCATCGCTGTGGTCTGAGTCGCCAAAGCTGAATTCTGTTGTTACTGGGTGATTCGAAAAGTTTGGAATGAACCTATCGGTGATCAGGAATGAGAGAAAAGAATCTGAAGGACTACAAGGCTGGCTTGCCTGAGCGAGATACCTTAACCATTAAGGTGTGCATGGCACCTAGCCACCTACACACCTGATCACCACACCCCAAATGGTGGAAAGAAAAAGCGACAAATCTAGCACAAGACCCCACCGGATCAAAGTTTCTCTTATCTTTTCCAAAAGCAAGTCCATCACGCTGCACATTATGGGCGTCTTTAGCACTGATCTGCTGCAGAACACGTAGACACGCGCTACACGGTTGCGCCTTGCTTTAGGGAGGAGGCCCGGATATTCCACGTTCCACAGCAGCACTGCCTGATTGCGTGAGCTGATGGCCATTCTGCAGACTGTGGGTGATCGATGCTTTCGGTCTTTATCGTGTGTATAATCGTGTTTGGTGAGGAGATGTCTTGGTCAAGTCTGGAACATACACGCTGCTGTTATAGTAAGAGACTAAGAGGGAAAGATTGTTATCGGAATCCAGAACGTAGATGTCAAGCCAGCAAAGGACATCGATCGACAAGCATCATTGTTGATTACGTGGTTGGATTAAGCCCACATGAACATGGTCATCGAATAATCATCACGCATGGTGTGGTCTAGCGTCTGTATTTCTAGACGAGTCTTCGGACTTCTGCTCCTACTCCTACTTCTCTCCAAGTTGCGCAAACAAAACAAGCGGATCAAATTGAAGAATATGAAATGTTGACTGCCCCATTTCTGCCCGTCAAGCGAAGGAGACGGTTCCCAGTCGCCTACCGGCGACGTGGACGCCAGCAATTATTTTAGGATTGCATCACGAGATGATTTTGCAGGTGCCATGCCAGCCCAGGCATGGCATGAAGTCGCGCGGCCAGCGTTTGTGATTGACGTGCATCGCACGCTTTACGTGTCTGGATCTATGCGTGTCACCTTGCAGGAGCGCCCCCAGGTTCAGGAAATGGGGACCGCGGCCAGAGGGTCTTCTTCGGTCTGGCGTGGCACTCTCCTCGTTTTCGGATTTCAAATAATCCATGCGAAACGAACGCCGTTTTTACCGCCAAACCAAATCAATGGAAGCGGAATCATCGTGAATTCGTAACGAGTTTAGCCCTCTGAATCTGATGACAAAACTACAACAGCCGCTGTGCTTGGACTCATGGACTGGAGTTGCCACTGTGCTCTGCGATATTAGATAGAGGCAGCAAAACGGATGGAGAGAGTTCCTTCCACAACAGAGCAAGATGCGACGAGGAAACGAAACGAAACGGAAGGAAAGAAGAAGCGCATAAAACAGGGAAAGCTACACGTAACCTCCCATACTACATAACCCGGCAACTCCTCTCCTCCCCGATCCCTTCCTTCCGTCCATCCTTCCGCCACGCGCGGCATCAGCGCGCGCGCACACACACACAACATGGCGCCCACGCCACGGACGCCGGCGCCGGCGCCGGAGAGGGCGCCGCCGCCCGTGCCCACTCCTCCTCCGCCTCTCGTGACGCCCCCGACGCTGCCCGTGCCCAATCCTCCTCCGCCTCTGGAGACGCCCCCGCCGCCGTCGCCCTCATCATCGCAGCCGGGCGACGAGTACCACACGCCGGCGCCGTCTCTGGCCGACGGGTCGCCGCGGGAGGAGACCAGCTTCCCCAGCGACGGGAACGGGAGGGAAGGAGGAGCGCCCCCCAAGAGCCCGCAGCTCTCGCCCATGCGCCTCGCTGCACCGCGCCTCCTGCCGCCGCCCAGCCCCCGCACCCGCACCGGGCAAAGCGGGCACGAAGAAGAGGCCGCGGCGGCGGGAACGGGAACGGCGGCGGCGCCGGCACGCGAGCCGCTGCGCCTGGCGACGAAGGGCCTCGCCCGGTCGCCGTCGTCGCAGAGGTCGCTCGCCACCACCAACTCCTCCCCTTTGCCGTCGCCATCGCCGACGCCGCCGTCGCCGCTGACTCCCGCCGCGCCCGTGGTCCACAGCAGCAGCGGCAACAACAACAACAGGAGCGGCCAGAGCACGCCCAAGCGCGCGGCAGAGACGAAGCTGCCGCTGTCGTCGCCGGCCGCCACGGCTGCGATCGCGGTGCACTTCGACCCGGTCGAGGAGGCCGTCACGTCGCCGCTGCACCTCGGCGGCAAGGCGCAGCGGCTCGACCACTACCACCAGCAGCAGCAGCAGCACGCGGCGGCGGCGGAGAACGGGGGATCCGTGCCCCCCGATGTGGCGGCCGCGGTCGCGGTCGGCGAGCGGAGGGCGCTGTCGGTGACGCTGCGCCTCGCCACGGCGGTGCTCAGCCTCGCGGCCTTCTCGGTCATCGCCAGCGCCCGCACGTCCGGATGGGCCGGCGACTACTACGCCCACCACCTGCAGTACAGGTCAGTGATCGCCCTCTTGAACACGCGTTTCGTCTCGGCTCCTTTTTGCACATTTCCTTCGGACGTGTCCGGTTCCTGACGGCTACGGGAGTTGTTACAAGAACATTTTAAAATAAATATTTTTTTGAAACGAAATTTCAAAATAAATAAAGAAAAATCCATCTATTTGGCAAATGTATGGCAGGTACGCCGTCGCGGTGAACGTGATCGTCTGCGCCTACTCGATCGCGCAATCATTCGGCGAAATCCGCCGCCTGATCTCAACAAGGTTTATATTCCGGAGCATGTCAAGCTACTACTGCAGCCTGTTCCTGGACCAGGCAAGTACAGCGCGTAATATATTCCTCAACTGAAACTGCTCGTGTCATGTGCAAGAGCTGAACCGTTCGACGACGTGGTGCCGTGCTGCAGGCTCTGGCATATCTCCTCATGTCGGCGTCGTCGGCGGCCGCGTCGCGCAACGACCTGTGGGTGTCCAGGTTCGGCACGGACGCCTTCAACAGGAAGATCACCAGCGCCCTGTGGCTGTCCTTCATTGCGTTCCTGATGCTCGCCCTAAACACGCTCATCTCCACGGCTAATCTCTTCAGCATGCTCTGACACGGTTGTCCTGACATTGTTGGAATCCAGTACTGGTTGTAAAATTTGGAGTAACTATAGCCGCGAATTAGTCGGAACACAAGCTATTGGTACTGGTACATCAGGAGCACACTTTTATGATTTTTATTTACAATCAAGGGCTAATAGAACGTTTTTCTTTTGTTTTTATATATTGTCAGGAGTACTAAGCATTTCAACTCTCAAATGTCTATTTTTTTCTTGACCAGTCATTAGGATGTAAGACAGATTGTTCGTGAACCCATAAAGGGGCCATAAACTAGTCTTGACCAATTCGAAAGATCATTTGGTCAAGTAACGATGACGAATACCTAACATCAGGATTACATAAATCCCCTAGTACCATTACGACATAGTTAACTGCCTAACCGATTCTACTAATCAACAGGGGCTACACCCAGCGGGTGCGCTCGCGCGCCCCATTGGATATTGACCATGAGACCAAAGCCCACGGGGCTCAGGCCTCCATCACTTGGGAGCGCCGACCGAGAAAAGCTAGCTTATGAACAGGGCTAGAACCCCGGGCCTATTTGAATCCCCTTCTCCCGGGGTCTTGTCTGACCAAAGAGGCTCAATGCAAGGTCCTGGGAATACAAGGTCCCGGGGAATGCCTTGGACCTCCTGTCTGGTTTCTGCCATGTGGCAAAGGTCTGACATCTGAGTAGAGGTGCAAGGTCGTCAACTCTATAAGGACACTGTTCCCCCATCCCAGCGAGGGATTCCCCGCCTATCTCGATGAGGAGTCACGTCCGAGACATGACAGGGCACGACAAGGGGCACATTGAACCCACGCGTCAACGTAGTCCAGGCTTTGTCTCCATTGGCGTGCAAGGGATGCTAGTGTGTGGGTGAACCAGGGACGGGTGTGATCCCAACCTGACAAAAGCCTACCTCTGTCATCTGCAAAAGTGGCCACTAGCGGGTTCTACATTTTCAACCATGACCACGCATGAAGCGGCGACACCCCCAATGGCTCGAAGATTAGGATGACAAAAACCCTAGGGCTTCCTTGACGATCACGGAAACTACGAAACCTAATCCTTGACTCTTCTTGCCCTCCAGAGATATAATGATGGGCAAGGGACCCCGTAGAAGGAGAAGAGATCTGTAACAGAACCGACCAATTATACGAAATTAAGTAAGAAAATCATCCGCCAGAGCAGACGATTTAGCAAACTTAAACCCGTATAACCCGGTAGTCCGTGAAATCACGAAGGATTTCAAATCAACTCACATACCAGCCAAGATCGTAATAAGTTTAGCGGTCACCATCACATATTACATAAAAGTTCGCATCTCAGATACATCAGAGTTTAAACATAGTTATTACAAAACGAGTTCAAAATAGAAGTAGCGGAAGCCATTTGTTCAAAACCACACTCACTCACATGGAGTTCAAATACAATGCCAGCTAATGATCATCTCCAACAAAAGTATCAGACGAGACGTAAGGAATGGCCATGCCCATGGTCCTAAGCGTCACCCATCGCAGGATAACGGCAGTTGATACAGTAGCCGTAATACATCTGTCCATTTGCAACAAGTGGGAATAAAACCCTGAGTACGAGAAGGTACTCAGCTAGACTTACCCGACATAACCGAAAATAAAGTGACACCAAGGATTATGAAGGGCTTTATAGTAGGGTAGCTGACTCATTTGCAAAAAGAGACATTTTTAGCATTTTAAGAACCTTTCCAAAAGCATTATTGTCAAGTTAATTATTATTAACCTGTCGACTAGATTTGCACCTATACTAGAGCAAACATGTGATTAAGCAAATAATGATAACCAATGATCATTAACAACTTCCATAATGTCACATTCATTATAACTGTCCAAGTGTTCCATAATCATTACTACGATGAAGTAACTCAAGTCAAGTGCTCACTATCCAGGAGCGATGGTGATTCGAATTGATTCCTAACCAGCTGGTGATTTATTCCTTACACAAACCTTACTCACCCGTTAAAGTGAGGTATCGGTCACCGAGTCAACTATCCAGGAATATCGAGTTTGCCAGGAACCACATGTACCCGGGGGCCGACCGACTGCACTTTGGTCTTATCATCTCGCCCCCGTGTCCTACCACACCTGCTCCGGTACAGTGCGCTGCGGGCAATCTACTCGGCCCGAATAATCTCCCAGCTTCGCGGTCGAAAGGTACTTTATTCGGCCAGCCAAATGTAAGGCATGCGTTCAACATGACTCGAGACCCAACAACGGTCGGTTCTTAATCGACACAGACGGAAAGCACTACAGTCCAAAACTCTGTAAGTCTCCGTCCGATCTCAACTTTATTTTACACTTAGTTATACCATAACTACATAGTTCTCCAAGCAGATCCAGGTAACCACCTATAGCTCGCAGGTGATAGGAAATCACCCGACTTCTACCGGTCTAAGCCAGCTAAGCATTGACTCAACTGCGGATACCAGGGTAACAAGGATATAGTATAACAAAGGTAGACAAGGTATAATGCAGCAACGGTTGCAAACAACTCCTGAACGTAATGCATCAATTAAAGTAAAACATTTAATTAATAATTGCAAACCGGGGAGAAAAATGCTTCGGGGCTTGCCTCTCTCGAAGGAGCTCGGGCGGTGATCGGGGCACTCCGGAAGTTCTTCAACGTCCTCCTCGTCTGCTTCGGTCACTTCCTGCGGCTGCACCTCGAGCTGCTCCTCAGGCTCCTCGGGTATGACGACTGGGTTCTCGATTTGCGATCCTATATGATGCATGTGCGTAAATGCTTATGCAAAAGGTGCATCGGATGAAATGAGCACAATGGATATGCTTGAATGCAAGGTAGTCAACATCATCTAAGAATATGTACTACAAGCACATGTCATCTACTGCATTCTCTTCTACTACTAATATGCTAAGTCAACATATCTCATTAAATGCTTCAAAGATACACCAAAGCTTCACTAATTCCTTAATCATCCATAAAGCAACATTTGATTAAACCCTAATTAATAATAGGTTTGAATAGCAACATCTATTTTTATAGCTTAGAAAAATCTTAGAAAATTATCATAGCACAGTACTACACTAAGTAGTCTACCATTAAATTTTTATGGCATTTGGATAAGTGGAGTAGCCTACACAAAAATGACAAGCTATGGCATAATTATGAACATGAAAATACTTTGTATTATGAAAAGTGTCAAACAACAGATGTAATATTTTTCCTATGTTCTACACAGCAAATAATCACTGTACAAAAATTATCACATGCATGTTTTATACAAATTTTGCTCTCTAGCAAAAATAACAAAAATCAGCCATTAAAGGCACTTGAACTACATCTCACAATTTTTCTACAGAACATGCATGGCATATATTTTTCCTAGGAAGTACATTACACAAGAAGAGTAACAAACTTGGAAGCATATTTTTCTGATACATATAGGTTTTACTACACATTTTACAAGATATCAGCAATATCAAGAATTAAATAAAACTCCACAGAAAAGTATCTCAAAAATGACATGCAATATTTTTATCCTGTAGATCTGGTGACAAGAAGCACAACAAAATTTGTTTCACCATTTTTGGAGCAATATAACTGGAGATATACATTTTACAAGCTTTTTAAATCAATTTTTGAATTCATTTTCTTTAACACTGAAATTCCACCAACCCAAAACCGCTAGGTGCACCCGGTGCAGTGCACCCAGAGGGGCTGCCAGGCGGGACCCACTGTCAGTCGGCCCCACAAGTCAGCGAAACAAAGCAGGGCAACGGCGCTGCTTCGACGCGGGTTGGCCACGGCTCGTCGCCGGTGAGTCCTCCGGCGAAGGCAAGTGGACCAACGTGATCTACAGAGCAGGGCGAGTCTAGTGACCTAAGTGGTGGCGGTGCAGGTGTGGCGGAGATTGCTCGTCGCCGGCCATGGCGGCACGGCGGCGCTGCTCTGTGGTGTACCGGCCGTCACCGGCCACGGCGAAGCCAGGCAAAGCGCTCTACAAAACCACGGCGACCATGTGACTATGTCTAGGCGACTTAGGCGGCTGGAGGCGCTCCGACGAAGCACGGCCACGGCAGCGGCCATGGTGGAGCTCCGGCAATGGCATACCCGCGGTGGCGCAACGCGAATGGCGGCTTACCTAAGGCACGATTACGGGCGTTGCAAGGTGGAAACAGCGGAGAAGGGTGAGGCGGAGCTTCGAGCACGGCCAATTGGAGAATGGGGCGGCGGTGAGCGCGGGCGAGCTCGGTGGAGCAGCTGCGACGGCAATGGCGACTACGGCTGCTACGGTGGCTGCGCTGAGGCGAAGGAGAGCGAAAATGAGATGGAGGAGGGGAGGCGGACGCTGCTCGGCAGATGGAGGCGAAGGCAGCGGGAAGCGAGGCGGGCGGGCTGCCTGCTTGGCGCAGCGTCGCCATGGCATGATGCGCGGCCACGTGGCGAGAAAGGATCTGACACTGGTCGAGGCGCGCAAGGAAATGAACAGAAGCAGCGACTGCTGGCTGAGGCGTGCCCTTGTAGCCTTGAGTTGGGCTGGGCCGAGGCAAAGGCGCAGCGCGGGGTGGAGCATGGGCCGGCTTCGGCTGGCGGGCCAGAAGTGAGGCAGCAACCCAGTAAAGGAGAGAAACCCTTTTTCAAATTCTATTTTCAAGGAATTTCCAAATATCAGTTTTCAAATACCCTTTTGAGCAAGAAAATGACTTCTTTTGAAAATGGCCCAAAAATAAAAGTTTCTTAGAATTTAGTCCTCTACAACTTTGCTTTAGGGACCAACTAAAAATTTTGCATAGATTTTGAATTGGGAAGTAAAAAGCTAAATAGAGAGGATTTTTGACCATTTTCAATAAAAAATTCAAAAGCATATTTTGTCAAAAGTTTGAATACAAACTTTGCTCCAAAAATTATGCTAAATAATTCTAGATGATTTACAATTATAGCCAAACATGTTTTACTAACCTAGCAAGCATAATTAGGGCAAAAACAACTCTAAACAAGTGTATGCAACATTCATGTTTTCACGAGCATGTTTCATATGTTTCAAAGCATGGTTTCAGTTATTATTTACATGATTAGGCATGTATGATTAGGATGCTTGATGATGCACAATATGCATGATTTACCGTGCCTAAATGCTTGCATAACACCGGGGTGTTACAAGATCGACGCATCAAACCATAAATCAATCGAATCATTCGCTCTCCTACCCCCAATCATAAACTCTTTTGAGCAGTCTAACACGAAGCAACTCTTTGCTGGACATAGGGCTCGACGCCCAAACCAAGATAAACCCTCTCGTGTTGAGTATTAACTACCAAAGTCCCACACGCTGACCACTAAACACTAGTCGTGGTTACAAACCCACAACTGGAAACTCAATCAAACTTATAATTGTCTCGATAGAATATTTTTCTTCTTTTTTTTATCCAAATATTCAGTTAAGATCATTCCAAGGCTCCTTTTCATCATGCATAAACTAACCGACAACTAGGATATATAAGCACAAAAATGAAAGCTTCGATAAAAGTGGATACACCTAGTACGTCAAAACTCAGTGCCCAAGGATAGAGAAAGATTGTTTCCACATAAAACATAACAATCTAGCGAAGACATGAAATTGAGTATTCGGAATTGTAACCAAGCGCTCTCAGCCCATGGGTTCTATACCTGACTCATAACTAGAAATCTTCTCTCGTCCTCGACCAATTGGGGCTAAAAGTCCTAAATCCAAAATACCAAAATAGGACTTGTAATTTTTGTGGTTTATGACTTTATGGTAACCTGCAAAAGTTAAACCTATTTATGGATTGAACGACAACCTATGCTCGTGGACAACCTGTCTTGCATCGTCCTTACAGATGTCATTGCGCAGTAGTACGTACGTGGTCTGTGGTCTACACTTGCAGACAACATGAGCTGCATGTGAGTCGTGACACTCCTTTTCGATGCAGGGAGGAAATGCACGGTCTTCTGTAGATACAGTTACAAAGGCTTGTATTGAACCAAGAACAGTTCCACGATTCCTAAAGATATCTTGACAAAACTATCTCAGTTATCAAACATCTGACGAACCTAAGTGATTTGTATTATACAACATAGTAGGCAAGCTGCCGTAAGACATGATGAAGCTTGACACTACATTTCAGCCCTCGAGCTCAATCTGGTTCACTCTACTCAACCAAATGGAGTGCAGGATCATGTGGAAGAGGTCGTACTTGATCGGCCTGGCGTGCCACAGGAAGTGCCTCTGCAGGCGCTTGACGCAGTCGTGCATGGCCACGTACCTCCGCCGCGAGATCCCCTGCAGGATCTTCTTGAGGTCCGGTATGTCCTTCTCGGCGACCACCACCGAGAAGGCGCTCCAGTCCAGCACCTCGCTGAAGGGCAGCACGAAGTTGTCGGCGATGACCACGGGCACGCACTCGTAGTAGAACGCCTCCACGATGCGGGGGCTGTTCACCTCGTACCCCATGGGGCAGAGGCAGAAGCGACTGTTCTTCATGTGCTGGATGTAGTTCATCCGGCGGGACACCCGGTTCGGCAGCAGGCTGTACACCCGCATGTCGTCATCCTGCCCGTCGCCCCAGTGCTTGAGGAGCACTGGCCGGACCCTGCCGTGCACGTTGCCGGCGAAGAAGGCCAGGATGCTCCGGCGGGAGACCGGCAGGCCGCCGACGTACCTGAGCGGCCGCCTCGGGGTCCGGATGGTCGTTTCGGGCAGGGAGACGTCCTTCCCTGGGGTAAAGATACCCTCCGAGCTATCGGCGTTGCACAGCGCCTTGATGGCGTTCTTGCGGAGATCGCGGTGCGCGGTCGTCGTGTAAGGTCCCTGCACGAACCAAGCAAGGACCATGATGATCCGTTCTTGAGCTCGATTGACGATTATTTCTGTATATATGGATCGAGACAACTCAAATTAAAGTAAAGAGCTAGCTTACCCAATCATGGCAGGCGACAAGGAAATGGTCGGCTCCTCTGGTGCGGTTCCAGAACGGGTACTTGTTGGCGAGGCCTCTGACGAAGTTCCTCAGGTACGCGGCCAGCGGCCTGAGATTGTGGGAGTCGGCCTGGTAGAGCGTGAGCCTCAGCTGCTGGGAGCTGTAGGGAAGGTAGAAGAGGTGCGCCTTGGTGGCGTCGGCGACGACGTGCCGGCGGCTCTCCTTGAGGAGCTTCATGAACCAGCCCTCGGAGGCGTAGATGCCGCTGAGGGGAGGCGTGTGGAAGATGGGCCTCCGGCCGTCCTGGTAAATGTAAACTTTGAGTATCCGTTCCATCAGTTCATAGCTCCTGGATAATGATCACATTTGCTACAATTATGATGCGTTTAGTCAATGCACGGGATCATTTTCGGTAGTAAAATGAGCATAAATGTAAAATTCGATTTAATAAAAAGCTTATAAAAAAGATAAATCGCGATTGTCCAACACGCTGTTTCATTTTTAAAAAATCGTTTTCATAAAAGCCATGGTGTTTACGGGACAATTCGCCAAACAAAAAACGGCAACATGATGGCATCATTTTAGTGGTAAGATTATGCAGGGGAACACGCCAAAACGCACACGGAAAACTTGGAAACTCCTCCATTATGGGAGGAAGGAAAGAAGCGACGCATGCATCCACCATTATATTACTTGGACAGCAACCGTTGGTTACCTCTTGAACTGGGAGACGTTCTTGAACACAGGCGCGTACAGGTCGGGGTCGTCGAGCACCGGCTCGGCGTTCCGTATCTCCGTCTTGGCGTAGCGCAGCGCCTCCTCCGGCGTCATCCTCCAGTACGACGGCTGATCACAGACAGACACGGGCAGACGGATTCAGGCCACTATGTACGGTGGTACGAGGAAACCACGTACGGTAGGTACGGGACACCCAACTCTGTCCCACCTCTCGTTTTCGAGGCCTCACGGCGGGCGGGGGCAGCGGAGCAGGGGGCGGCGTGGCGGGTGCCGGAGGCGCTGACAAGTGCGGCGGTGGCGGTGGCAGTGGCGGGGTCTCGTTCGCGACTGACAATGCTCCGGCGAAGTCGGTTCTCCTCGTGGTGGATGCGCCGGGGGAGGAGGGCAGGGAGAATGTGAGCAGCGCCGTCGCCGCGCCCGCCGCGAGGAGGGACACGAGCGCCGCGACGCGGCAGCAGGAGACGGACATCGTCATCCCGCTCCCGCCGCGGTGGCGGGGCCGGCGCCGGGACGACCCGGCGTGGAAGGCGGCCGAGGGGGAGGTGGCGACGTGCGGTGGTGGCCGCATTGGTGTGGAGAGGAGGACGCGGGCGGCAAGGAGAGAAGAGCGCGCGGGCGCATGTCTTCTGGTGTTTATATTTCTGATGATGAAAAAAAAGACGTGACGCGCCCCCGGAAGAAAGGAAACGCCGGGATATGCGGCGGTGTTCTCTGGTTGGTGTAGTTTCCATTTGGGCCGTGCGCATGTCGCATGGGGAACTTTGGGAGGCGCGACGCCGACGCCAGGCGAGCCAAGGGCGCGCCGCGCTCTGGCGGACCGCGGGCTGGGGAGGCGGCGCGGATTCTGGCCCGGTCCGGCACGACGCTCCCACATCCGATCGATTTTTTTTGGCACTGCCAGCTACGCCCTCTCATCCTGGAATTGGAACTTTGGAAGCGTTTGTTCGGGAGTTCTGGCAAGACGGCAGCACGTTCACGACACAGCAATATGCAATATGGCACAGTTCGGCTGCGTGCCGCAGATGCCGTGGCACGCGTTCTGCCCACTCATCTTATCTTCGCATTGCGAGTTGTGACCCGCTACAAGCCTGCCGTAGAAGCAGAGTTAACGAAAGTACCACGAGGCAACGAGGGCAGCTCCAGCTCCAGGATTATGAGCTGCGAAATCCATTTAAACAACATTTGGCGAAATCCATTTAAACAACATTTGGCTACCAAAATGCCAACTGATATTGGCACCAATCGCAATCACTCCAGCCCACTAGGATTTGGACACGCATCCCATCAGTAGGCTAAACACAACATTGAGTCCATGCAAATTGATCACAAGTTTCTGTTGCGATACGGAGGTATTAACTCATATACAATTTTTTCAGGTAAGAGCATTTTACCCTACTACAGATGCAGAGAACTGGGGATTCATGTACATGTAAAAACTGCTTCAAAATGGACCGGCACAAAAGTTTATCTCAATTCCCAATCTCTCAGAGATAGACCAGCCTAAAAACCACACCCGTTCCGAATTTCTAAACTCCACGCGGAACCTTTCATCCTTTCCTTTTTCATATCTGCCATATGCCAAGTTTCCATCTCCAGCACGAATTGTAATATCTACAGCAGCTAAAATAATTCACATGATATGCGACATGTCTCAGGTAATTGGTGCACTCCGTAGGTACCGAATGCACACTGCAGAGTACTTTGTACAAGTGCCACCGTTGTATTTGTTGCTGTTTAACTTAAAACAAGCACACCATTATATGCGTACTGAGCATTGTATATACAGACACATCTTACCACAATTTTCAGAACTTTTCAGCTGTCAGGCATTCCAAGTCTGGAAGGTGCCACAAACAAAGTCGTAGCGAGCACCGATTAGTTTGAGTGTTCCCTTGGCCAATCTATCCATGACAAATGGGTAGGTCTTCAGGTTTCTAAGGGACAAATTGACGGCCTCCTGCATACCATTCAAAAAATGCTAGATCAGCATGTAATCCGATTGAGAATCAACTAGGGTTTCACTAACTTGGTTAGCAAATGAGAAATAAATCAGCAAACTGAAGCACTGAAAACAAATTTTTAGTAGACTCACAATTTCCATCTTGGTGCATTGTTCATCAAAGGGCAGAAAGCCATGTATTCTCTCCACCTTCTTCTTGATATCCAGACCGATCTTGACCCAGTTTTCAATGAAGCTAAGAGATCAAATGAACAGAATACAACTTAGAATAAAGAGAGTATCAAAGATGCTTATAGATAATATATATTAGTACAGTAACTATTATTCAAACCAACTTTTAGCTCACTTGTTTATGGGAAATATACAATTATGCATGTTTTTCTACGTCTCTTTGTAACATACAATTATGCATGGTTTTCTTTATCACCAAACATAGTGGAGACAGACAATTTGGAGCAAGATTAAGATGACTACTTACTAGGTGTGCGGTCTATCTTCCTTCAAAGAGAGGAGTGCCCTGATTCCACCACAGCAGCTGTGACCAATAACCACAATACACTCAACCAGGGCCGTCCCGGGAAAATTCAAGGCCCTGTACCAAGCTAAAAAACGTGGCCTACTAGCCTAGAAAAAACAGAGCTAAATGTATGATATGATGTAGTATGTAGTACATTGCAATAAAATATATCAAGAATGGTACCTATGTTGCATAATCTTTACGCTCGATGTCGATCGCTCGTGATACGCAGCCGGCAGCCGATACGGCATCAGGGCGATGGCGGCGGTAGGGGACGAGGAGACCGAGACCTAACTGCTGCGAATTGGGATTGGCAAAACAAAATGATGCCCACTGTCCAGCGGCCGGCCAACAAATCATTTTTTATTGGGCCAAACTGTTGCTGTGCAAGCTGCCGTAATAGGCTTGCTAGCTAATGGGCCAAAAGCCGAAGCTTCAGCTGTGCTGATCTATTTAAGTACTCTATATTTGGAGGTCTACGAGATTTGGAGGCCCTGCGCCGTCGCTCATGCTGCACATGCGCAGGGACGGCCCTGACTCAACCTGAGAATAGGGTGTCCATCAACTTGTTTTCCATGGACAGAAGAATAAATCTCTTATAGTTCGTAATGGGGCAATTTATGTGACTATATACAGTATAACTGCCAGTATCATTCCATTGTAGGAATATTTTATTCCTCTGCACAAATTTCAGTGGTTTTGATATAGCTAATGGAGGTATAGTTACCCCAGCGATTCTAAACAGCAAACTATAAATTTAGGTTTATTCATAAAGTATTAGATAAATGACACATGACAAAAAAAAACTTCCCAAATTATGCTAACAATTAGGGAGGAGTGCAACAGCATCCTGTAGCACAAGTAGTCTGGTGGCACTGTGTTTTTATTGTCTTTTTTTTTCTTACAAGACTGTCATATTCATTGACAAATGAACCAAAACACATGAATGCAAGATGGATGTTTTTGGGTTAGGCATTCTAAAAACAACAGGGAGAAGCTCACCTTGAGGATGGTCAGATATTGCAGTGCACATTCTGTGGTAATACATGAATGTCCAGGTTAATTAATTGTACCTCCAAAAGCACTGGCCAGAATTATTACTTCTTCTTGAAAATAAAATATGAAAAATAATCTCCATAAGCATGAACCTGCTTGTAGGCTGGGACCAGGCTGGCAATATTACGGACAGTAAAGGCTTCTCCTGGCTTTAGGTCAAGGGTCACTGATGGACAAACACGCGAGTCAGAGCATGCAAACACCATGTACTGCAAGAAATAACAGAATAACCATCAAATCAGAGAGGAGAAAAAAAGGCTGACTCCTTAGAACACGGACCTTATAGAGATCAAAGATTTCCGAATGGAATGGTTTTGACTATAGATTTATTGGGGACCTTCGCAACACAGCAAGGAAGTAAATAGACATTGAATGATTCACATCCACTCCTGCCTAATATCCAGAAGATGAGTGAAAGTTGTTCATGTATCCTTTATGTGTCTCCTTCAGTCCTTCCCATTGAATGAATGATGATGTGAATGAACATATTACAGAGACCAATCAGACCATAAACACTACAACTTGGTAGGAGGCATTAATTATTTTGGTGGAGCTCCAGGTTCCAAGTCCCACCTGACGCAGCAGGTAGGTTACTTGCTTATCTCCAGTTGACCAAACTGATCATCTCCAGATACTAAGTTACAGAAACTCATAGAATGTATGAAATCATATGAAGTGTGAAGTGTAAATTAAACTACAACCCAAAGGACAAGACCAATTGCCAAACAGACAATATGTAAATACGCATGACGGGGTGAAAAGACTCATTTGCCTCATCTGTTTAACAGGCAATCAGAGTATCAGACACCACCACATGCACAATTCTCTTGTGTATTTATTATTGTTGGAGTTCCACCTTTAGAAAAATGCTCCAACCACAAAAGCGACCCTCCAGACAGCAAGGTTTGTTGCCCCATCAAGAATTTGTATGCAGGGTGAAGCGGCAAGGTAGGCATGATTCAGTTTTTATGTTATATATATAACCAGTTTTGGATGCGTGTAATTGCATTTTGAAGTTATCATCAGCTTATTCTTGTATGTGAGCAACACACAGATTGCCATGTTTAACATTTGACCCTGTGCGGCCAACAAGTCTACTCATTTAGTATCATGAGGAGAAGAAGCTAATTCTGGTCTATGGTCCAACACAAACCGCTGCAAAACTGAAGCTACAAGTATTACCTTTTGTTTTAAAGACCTACTCCGTACTTCTGAACTGAACAACTGCAGGTTAATTCTTGTTTGTGGGATTTCATTTAGTATCCTAAGGTTTCCAAAACTATGAGACCAGAATTTCGATTAGTAAATTTGTTATTCAAACTAATAAATAAGTTGCAAATAATCAGACTTCTCGTATATAATTTTCTACGACAAGAGAAAGTAGAAGCAGCAACAGAATAACCATACATTTTGTTCAGTTTTTATTTTATTTGAGAATATTCTATTTGGCTGAACTATCGGTGTGTAGTTATCCTTAACAGATGCACACATTGATGAATGAACACATCCTGAATACAGTTGAACGAACAGAGGGTTTTTTCCCCCCAGGCATCAATGGATGGAAAATACCTTCGGCGACTGGGCAGACTTGAGCTGGCCGAACAACTTTGGGTTCTGACTGCAACAACCCCCAAATCAGAAGAACGAACTGAATCAGGTATACACTCAAATTCAGGTGCAGAATTCCTTGACCGTAAGAGCAAACTCACTCGTAGATGTTCTTTTTAAACGTCCGGAACCCAGCCTTCAATCTCTCTGCAGCGCCCAGCCCCTGCAAACATCGGCAGCAGCCGTCAGCCACGAGGGTGAAAGCTGAAACAACACAATGCGGGCAGGTGACGAGAAAATTGCAGGAACTGGAGACTGACCTCGCTGTACGCGACCATCGGTGCTGGGTAGGGGTAGTTGGCAGCGCTCGATCCGCGCCGGATGAGCTGTTCCTGATGCATCGCCATCGGGTTTTCCCGCGGAGGCTTTCGATCGTGGAAGCAGCCGCAGCAGCCCCCCATCGCCGATCCCGCTCGCGAGCCGCTCG